AGGAGGCCGAGGAAGTCATGGATTTGGTGGTTGTTGGTATACGGGACGTCTTGCCATTGTTATTGTTATTCGGAGCACTGCTGCTGTTGTTGTTGAGCAGCTTCTTGATGCTGCTGCTGCTGCTACCATCGGTATCAGTTGCGGCTACCTTGGATCCTGCTCCTCCGCCTCCTACCTTTCCTATTCCTGCTCCTGCACCGGCTGCCGGTGCAAGACCCGCATAGATCTTCGAATGATGGTAGTTATACTTTTTGGTCTGCACATTTTTATGATTTTTCAACATCTCCTGGAACTCTTTCCAATCCAGTCCGACCGTCGGCAATGAGTACGTGGACGTGGACGCGCTTTTGTTCGCGTTCAGACTTTGCGAAGAGCCATAGAACTGTGACACAAACTCGTTGATGCCCATTTCCGGGGCATGCGCACTGCGAGCACAGTCGCTCTTAAACTGCCAAATATACTGTTATATAGTACAACGCACAAGGCAGAGGCAGTACACTCTGTAAACACTGTACACACACACTGCCTGGCAAAAGTAAGCCCACAAACACGTCCGACGGTTGGCGAGTTCAGCGCGCAACTAACAGCGGATCCGCGAACAAACAGCAAGCTCGAGGGGATCCGCTCTCTGGCGCTTCAGTCCCGCTCGCCGGCTCTAACTTTCAGCTCTGCAACTTCAACAACAACAAACTCCGATTATGGCGACTCCAACCACGGATTACTATACTTTATGGAGGAGCTAAAGCAAGCACCGGATCTGCCGATTGCAATGGAAATGCAATCGGTTGTCATAAATTTAAACGCACATTTGATAAAAAGTTCAATTGGAATTTTGACTATAAAGCAAAACAAATTAAAATTTTGGCATACGATCTATGGCCTGTTTTGATTGAATTTTACAGAACAAGGGACTTGGGATATAAAGTAAAATATAAAAATGATTTCTTTATATATTAACTAAACTAAATATTTATTTTATAATTCTTCAGGCTTTACTTTAAGTGAGTTTTAACTTTAAAATCATTTAACATCATGGAATTACTAGTAAGTAATATTCAAACATCTTAAAAGACTTTTCTGCTTAAATCAATACTTAAAAATCATTATATATTTACGCCTTTCTCTATTAATAATATAACTTTCAGCTTCTGTTATTTGTTCAATTCAAATATTAAAGAAAAGTAGCCCGGCTTCATATCCATCCATCTTCTCTTATTGTTGTGGACTTTGTAATTACGGGGGGTCTTTTCAGTTTTTTTTGTTGTTTCAAATTGTCGCCGTGACTTTCGCGTCACAGTTGGCCAACAGCAAGAGTAGTATTTGGGCCTGGTCATTGACTGACTGACTGGCTGCGTGTATGAGCCAAGTATGCAAAAATATAAAACAAACAAAAGGAGAGAAAACTTGGGTATGATTACGGTTGGAAAGAACTCAAAGCCCAGCACACACATAGCTCATTAAAAGCCACGCTCCAGTTAGAAGCTCAAGAGCTATAAACATTATCAAGTCTGAACAGATTAAGCTGGAATCATAATTATGGCCGGACAAGAAAGTATTTCCATTGAATAGAATTGACCAAATTGAATGTAAACCCAAAAAAACCTCACACCAAAATTAATTTGGCCAGGAACTGAGTTAAAAAGAAATTATCATAGCGTGTGCCGGATATTGAATGTAAGCCAAAAAACCGAAAGTTTCAGATTAATAGGAATTGGGGGACTTATGTAAGCAACAAAAAAAGAGATACAATTGCTGAATTGAAGAAAGCGGAGGCCAAACTTTATTTCCCTCCACTTGAATTATTTAAAAAAAATAAAAAATATATACCGCCCATAAATAATGCCTATAAAATTGTATGCATAGCTCTATAGTACCGTAAAAAAAACTGAATTCTCACGCTTAAATATATTATTCAAAGCCGAAATTACCCAAGCCCTAAGAGCTCACAATTTATGCAATATTTGGCTTCGGTTTTAGCCAACTTTTGTGTGCAAATTATAAAACCCACGAAGAAATCCGCATCTTCTCTTCTTGCATAAATTTGTCATGCGAATTAGACTTGTGAAATGTTGGCTGACAGTTCAATATCTAATTTTTTGATGCCCTAAATTATGTTAATAAATTATTAAAAAAAAAATCTAGATAAACAATAGTTCAATTAATCACTTTCCCGCGGATTCCATTGACCACCAATGAAGCAATTTTGTAAATGAGCCAAGCTATATATTTTCTTACAAATCTTTCGGCCTGCAAGAGCTAGCCATGTGTGGGCTTCAAATGAATTGCAAATTGTTATGGAAACGTTAACGTACTCAATACTCCCAGTAGCAATACTATACGTATTGCTCGGCGTTGGTTACGCATGGCAGAAATCATCCGCCAAAGAAAAGTAAAAGTATTGCCAAACAAAAAGGCAGAAATACTGGAAAGGTGCGTGTTGGGTGTTTGATTTCTCGCAAAGAGGAGGTCGCCCCGGCCATTAACTTTTTTTTGTGCGATGTCAGTACCAATGTGCATCAACAATTTGCAATTTACAAATTGCTAAATGCAAATACAGTATGGTGTTTATTTTTTGCTGCTGCTGCTTCTAGCGCCTGAAGTGTGCCATCGAAGAGGCAGATGAAAAACGCTTGACAATTAATTGGGTAAAAGCGTGAAAAATGGCCATAAAGAAAAGCAACAGCGGCAACGACAACGCCGAAATCAATGAACTTGATGGGTGTAGGCCATAAATTAGAGTGAAAACAAGCCGAGTCAGATAATAGCCAGCCTTTTGGCCACACACAAGCACCACGCGAAGGCAAAACAAACCAAAAAGAGTTGGCGTGCGTTTAAAAAGACTTTAAGGTTTGGTATATACTCTTACAGAAATATAATCATGTGTGCATAATGAGATTTGGGGTTTAAAAGATTAAGGAAATAATAAATACAAACATAAATCAGTTTTATAGAAAAAGTATCTAATTGAAAAATCAATTGTAAATAATTTATTGGAGTGCAAACAATGATAAATATCATTTCCCTAAAATCATTGATATAATATCTTTGAATTTTTTGTATAATATAATATTACAGAAAAACTTACAAAACAAATTATCCATTTTCCTAACATTACGTATTTGTAATATTATTCTTTTATTATATTTTTAAGCGCAAAAAAAAAAAAAAAAATACAAAATATTTCCTTGTTAAATAAGAGCATTTACAATTCCTTACTAAAACATTTACAACTTTCTCACTGCCTTTTCACATGCGGGCCACAATCACGCACAATCAAAACTAAATGACAACTTAATTGATCGTCTTCCCCAAAGTGGATGGTGTGAAAGCAATAAATAAAATTCGACAAAATAGACTAGAGTGTGCGACTCCAAAAAGAGTGTGGGTGAAAACCGACTGCTTAAATCCCAGACTGGCCTGGTGTTGCCACAAATAAATAAATATAAATTAAAAAAAAAAAAAAAAGGGGAAGGCAGGGCAGTTACATTAAAACATTTAACAAACAATTTAACTTCAAATAAGCCAAAGCTTTGGAGTGTTGGCCAAGAGTGGATGAGGGGGCAGTGTACACCAACGCCCAGTATAAAGGCCAATATAAAGCCAGAAATGGTGATGTGACAACTGTAAAATACCCTGTGCTAATAACTAGAGAACGTAATGAGTGAGTTTCTTTTACGACAAAATCCTGGGCTCAGGTTTATGCCAAGGACATGGGAGATTACTCAATTACTTTCTATTTCGGTAGCTCAAAGAATATGTAAGCTATGTCTATATTTCCTCAGTATTTCCAGCATACTCCTTAAGTACCGTGTACAAAAACAAGAACAAAAACACCAACAGCAGCAGCAACAACTCGTTGAACATCAAAGCAAATTTCGTTAAAGCGTCAAGTGAACGCGTAGCGGCATAAACAAGTTGTGACATTTGCGGGCATTGAGAATAACACACCATGAGTAAAGGGGTTCAATTCAACTAAAGGGGGAAATTCTCGCAGTGTATGTGTGGGGCAAAATAGTAAGTAGAACCACCTGAGTGCCAAGTGTGGGTCATGCCCACGATTATGTAAGCAAGAGGCAAGTATGTTTGTGCGAAAACATTGCGAATGTCGGTTGAACTTGGTAGTAAAGTTGTTTTACATAGAATAGAAGGAATATAAAGGCCAAAATTTATCGGTAAATAAAATTCAATTTAAAGTAAAAACTTCTAAGAAAGATAAACAGACATTCTTAAGAGGATCATGTGGAAACTGATTTATAAAAAAGGTATTCAAAAGAGCTTTAAAAATCCTTTGAAAATATACATTTCTTGTCCTATAAAAACAAACTTACTCCCTAATCTTGCCAGAGATGACAATCGTCCAAAGCGCATTTGTTCAAATTAGTTGGCCAACTCCTACAGACGAAACCCATAAAGATAATCACTGCACATTAGTGACATTCCAGTCCAGCCCAAGTTCAGTATTTAAGTACATATAGTATACTTAATATCTATAAACGAGCTGAACGCCCACTGCAAAGTAGCAACTTTGCCATTGAAAACACTTCGCAGAGGTGTCTAGTTTAGACAAGTGACAACTGTTGGGCAGAGGCTCAGCTCAGCTCAGCTCAGTTCAGCTCAGTTCGAAATCCCCGAATGGCTAATTAGACGCCTTAATATTAATTACAAAAGTTGTGCAACTCTGTAAGCCTTAGGAAAACTGTCCTCGGGAGACCATTTTGCAACCTTTTTTTTCTTGTCCATTGTGCAGAAAATACATTATTTTCGACAGACAAAGAAAACTTTTGGCGGCACGTTCCGAAAATAATTAATTCGATTTGAAATAAACTTGAATTCGTATGCTTTCACTTTGGATCTTTCGATCAGAGCAAAGCCGCAGCAAAAAAAAAGGGAAATAGGAAACGGATAATGGGGTTACAATCGATTTGAAGTGCTCCAGTTACCAGCAGCTAGCTCCCTTCGTTATTAAGTCTTATTTTTTGTGGTGGTTGCTTGACACTTACCCTCGGAAACGGCGGCAATGGCGGTGCTTTTAATAATCGTCATTGATTTAAGTTTGGCTGTTTGTTGTGTCTGCTTAATTGTGGCGGCGGCGGCGGCTTTGGTGGCCGCTCCTTTAATATTGCTGCTGCCATTGGTGGCACTGGTTGGTGTCGTGCCATTCAAGCGTTTATCTGCAATGATAACGAGGAAAATCTTGGGTTAGTCGCGATTAAGTACATTTTCCAGGCATACTTTCAGGCATTTGGCCAATAAAATCCCCAAGAGAGGAGACTCACTGTTGGCACTGCAGCTCTGTTCAGTTTGATTTGATTTCTTACGGCCAAAATAAAACAAACTACCGAAACCCATTGTGAATGGAAAGATGTAAAGGAAGAAACCGAAACTGGAGGTTAAAACTTAAAAATTAAACGAAACATAAGCCTAAAAATTTTTACAAATTTTATTTACAATTTTTAGATTTTTTTTTTTTTAGATTTTGATAGACGATAGTTTAGTTTCAGGAAAGCTGTCAGTTAAACAGAGTTTTCTAGCAAAGCCTATTTAGTTGATGATTAATTCATTTGGTTTCAGCATTTCATTACCTTAAATTATTTATATTTTACTTATTTATAAGGGGAATAAATCATAGAAAATAAAGATACATGTATCTTTTAATGGCCTAAATATTTACGTTTAATGTTTTCTAATTAAATAGGTCAGGAATCCTTTTTTTATAGCTTTGTTAATCAAATCTTTAACTAAATTTCCCCCATTTTCGTATAATTTTCTTTTCGTTTTTTTAATTATTCACTGATAAAATATGCGTGCAATCACGGAACTTGGCTGGGCTATCAATGCAACGTAAATGCACGATGGCAGGGAGCGCAGGAAAAGAAGTCGGAAAGTCTGAAAGCGGAACGATCGGGTTGGTCTCCCGGCATGTCATAATTTGACCAAATTAATGAAATCAAAAGAAAACCAGTTTCCATATTATTCAGTTTTTTTTTTTTTTTTTATTCGCGGCGGAACAAGGTGCATGCAAGCAGTGGAGAATGCCAAAACAGAAACACCTGTTTTTCCCTTAAGTCACAGAAGAAAGAAGATAAAGATACAAAAATGCGGCAAGTGCGTGAGGCAAGTAGTGCGAGCAAGCAGTGCTGAAGAGTTCTGTGATCTCTCTGCTCTTAAATGCAGGGTTTCTCTTATGTTTTTCTCTTTAGCAACATTTTGAAAAGCTTAGCAACATTGGCTAGGGTTGAACTGCTTGCTGAAGTTGTGATGATAGATAGATAGACTTATAATTCGCAGAATCTTTCCTTATTTAATATTTAAAATATTTTTATCGCTATATTAAACATACTTAAAAATTACAAAATATTCCTAAATATTTTATATACAAGAATATTACATTTTTCAGCTCAAAACCTTTGATTAGAGTTGGTGCTTTTATTCAAAGAGCAGTTTCTATGATGTTTTGGATCAGAATACATATTAAAAATATTTAGTTTTTTTTTTTAAGTTTACTTCTTTATTCAAATACTAATTTAAAGCAAAAAATACAAGTGTTTCGAAATTCCTTAGAAATTCTTAAACTCTCACTAGCTTAAGAGTTCCAACTCTCAAAGGCAGCCTCTCTTAAGTTCTCTCTTTTCTTGCATACGTTTCAGATACAGATACAGGTTTCCTTGAATAATTAGCATAATTTGCTTCTTTTGTTTTCCGCAGCTCAGAGGCTGCACACCACGAGAGACCGTTGTCCACTGCTGACCTCATGGCCACTTGGAGAACCCGTATCTCTCCCTGGGTCTGTGCTCGCATCCCATATTGTTTAAGGTAATTTGCGAGCATCAGCTCTGCAGCTCGTGCTGCTGTGATCTTGGGCCCGGTTGTCACTGCTGCCTGGGTTTCAATACAAACCGCAAAAAAAAAAAATAAAACGCCAGAGAGCTGAATTAAAACTGAACAAAACAGCGCCAGAAGCCATAAATGGCTAGTACAAGTCTAGGCGGCAAAAACCCGGCAAGTACAAACAATGAATTTGTGCCGGCCGAAAAAAGAGTTTACAATGCCGATGCCGCGAATGCCAATGTCAACCGCTTCCACACACACACTCAATGCTGGCTATGAACTTCAAAAACGCCTCAGGGATGGGCAGAGCCAATCAATCGGAGCATAAAGAACTCTTTGGGCGGTCAGGGATTCCGATCCCCTTCGCTCAAATGGCTTTAAACGGATTTACCCACGCATGGAGCCATCGACAAGCAATTACCATGCCGAGCAACCGGATTTCTTGGCTTAATCTGCTCAGGCTGTTCGCGTTCGAACTCCTCCGCATATCCGAGAGATACTCGTACTAAGAGGTGCGAAAGTGCCGACGACTCAATTGATCTTGCGCAATTATTCCAATAATCATTTAGGTGTTTTCCTTTTGGCCAACTCGACGAGCGAAGCTAAGCGCCAGGTAGGCGATACGCGTAGGCATATTTCAGGCACGTTTGCCCTGTCGAGTTGGCCACTGAATACTGAGGAGATGTGCGATTAAAAGCGATCAAATTAGCTGGAATTAGGCTTCACGATGGGTGTGCTGGGCAACGAACTCGTTAAGGAATAAGCCCTATTTATCAAACAGAACCCAGGGTGACGATTTATATAGAGAATGATATCACTAGTGAAAGAAACTATAGAACTATCTATACTTATAAAGGTGTTCTAAAAAACGTAAACCACCAAAGCATCGGTGGTTCAGTGGTAGAATGCTCGCCTGCCACGCGGGCGGCCCGGGTTCGATTCCCGGCCGATGCAAAATATATATTTTAATTTATTTAAATTATATTTAACATTTAAAATATATTTAAAAATTTATTAAATTTTTTTGGTTGAATATACATCTTGCTAAGCAAAAAACTACAGATGTAACTAAGTACTTCTGCTGAGAAACTTTTCTCTCAAAGCTTATTGCAAAGCATTTAAAATCCGGTTTTGCCAACTTTTCGTGAAGTTTTCGCATAGATGTTAGAAAATTTTCATTGGCAAGAGGAAAATTTCAGGTAAGAAAGGGCCGATTTTCGCATAAGCATCGGTGGTTCAGTGGTAGAATGCTCGCCTGCCACGCGGGCGGCCCGGGTTCGATTCCCGGCCGATGCAAAATAATATTTTTGATAAATTCGAGGGTTTTTTAAAAGAGTTTTTTAGTTCGCTAGCAAGGAAATATATTTTTGCACAACTTTAAAAATAATACGAAGTCAAATTAAAAGTAAAAAGTACTAAATACAATGACAGCACTTAATGCTATCAAATAGATTAAATATTTATTTATAGAATAAACTTTTGTTAAAAATAATGAGTTTTACAAAAGAAACAACTTCTTAAAAGTTAAGATACGGCTTTTGTTTGCTAATTTTGACGCAGATATTTAACAGGCATCGGTGGTTCAGTGGTAGAATGCTCGCCTGCCACGCGGGCGGCCCGGGTTCGATTCCCGGCCGATGCAAACCAACTTTTTGTTGTTTTAACAATAATATTTTCCACTCGTTTTGATTAATCTGCGGCAGCATTAATTGCACGAGATGGCGCGCATGTTGACGAAATAAATCTTAATTAGTACAAGAAATTCCAGCCGTGAGCGTGAGCTTGTTTTCCCCGTTGAATATGCAAAACACGTTTCACCAGCGCTTTTCTTGCTCGTGTTTTTCCCCCGGCTCAATGTGAAAATAGCCCGATAAGCATGCGCGCTCCGCATTCACTGCGATCGAGGGCGGGGCTAAAGTAATGCTAAATTAGACTCTTTCGCTGGTTACTTTATAAATAGAATGCCCGGCTAGGAATTCAGCGGAGGAGGCGGCATTCTCTTAGCGACTCCAGAGAGCTCTGCGACATTACGAGCAATTTAGCAACATCTCGGAGGGCGAAAACACAATGAATTTCCCTATTAAGGCTAATTTATGCAGGGGCCTGCAAACACTTGCATGACCCAGGCACGACCGTAAACAAAATAATGAAACAACACAACACACAATCGCACAGAAAGCAAGACGAAAGCGACAAAAGAAAAGAAATGGGGAAAAAAAAGTATAAAAATTATATTCTGCATCGGCCGGGAATCGAACCCGGGCCGCCCGCGTGGCAGGCGAGCATTCTACCACTGAACCACCGATGCTTTTGGTAGCTCCGGGCAGAATATTCCACATGAAATTGGCAACCATCAATAGTTCTATGATTTATGGATTAGAGTTCTTGTCTTTGGTTGTCCCACTTTCGTGGCAACATTAGTTGCGGCAATTTATGGGGTCATCGAATTTCGAAGCGAAAACAACAATAGTGCTTGTGCCAGATAATGAAGGCCTGCCATTTGGATTTCATTAATTGAAAATGTGGCAACAGATTAATTTAATAAAAAAGCTGGGCAACATGTGAATTATGCTGAAAAATATTGTTGATTTTGAGCAACTTCAAAGTGCTGAAAGCTGAAATAATTAGGAAGTCTGCAGATGTTGCTTGAAATCTTGTTCAAACCTAAATAATACTTTGGGAAATTGAAGAATATTCTTCTAGGTTTGTTTTTAAATATTATATCAACACTAAGATATGTTTTAAATACTAGTTTGTATTATTTAAATTAATAAATTCCATTTTGAGTAAGGTTTGGTTAAATTCCTTAACAGAACACCAAAATAATTTAATTAATTAACTCTCTACAGTTCCCTGAGCCTTATTTGTTTTCCTTTTAAAAATCTCCATAAAATCAATGAAGCAATCAGTTCCATTTTCCACAGAACCGATTACCACATTCGTTCCAACTTGATGGGGACAGATGACTCACAGGGAATGAGTCAACGAGGCCGAATTTGCGAACAAAAAATCCCCTGTCACATACATAGTGCCCAGAAAACGCAAGGAGTTTGGGGCATGCTGCGTGGAAGACATAATGTCACCTCGCCAGCTGTTGGCTTATTGCAGCTGGCACAGATTTGCTGGATTTTCCCGGCTAACTGTGGGAACGGAGCGCTAAATTATTTTCCTCTACGAATAGCGGACACTGGGAGCTAAGATACGCCCTCAATTGAAATATAGCGACTTCATGGCTGGACCAGACACTATACGACACTTTTATGGCCAAAAGAAGGGAGAGGAGAAGACCAGGTGTACTGGAGGAGATTCAGCAACTCATTCAGGGCAACCAGTTGAGCATTCTTCACCTGAGCAATGATTTCGCATTTAGCAAAGCTCAAGTCTTTCAGGTTGATGGGGAGAGGCAAGGGCGACTTTTGACAAAAGTTGACACCTTTCAAGTGGCATTTCAAAGAAGCTGTAAAAAGTCAAACGGTTTGGGAAGAAAAGTGTCAGACGGTGAGTTTTAATGAGGAAGTTCTATTATGATAGATTGGTCTGGTAACTAGGATGTTATTTGAGACTAACTATGAGAGAAATTTTAGGTAAATTTGTAGATGAATTAGGAGCATACTTTTACAAGTTTTTTCTTTTAAATTATTAAAAATCTGTATGGCCAACTCCCGTAAATATTTAAAATAAAACCCCAATGACTTCACACCTAAACAAATAAATGACTTAAACTATTAAGCTTTCAACATTAATATTTTTCTCTGGCAAAATTCTTTTTCACTTACGTATTGATGTGGGCGTGGGCGTGGCTGATGATTTGGTGCGCGTGGATTGTCCCTTGGCCGTCTGCTGTGTTTTTGGTGGCGGACCCAGATCGGTTGGCGATATGCTCAGATTGCGCACATCCCGCTTTTTGGCAGCTCCTGCAAAGAGACAAACGAGAAGGAGGTGTGAAACGAGTGCCATGGCAAAATACTTTGTCGCTCCCTAAACACAATCGATATGTGGATGTCGACGGGATAATTTATGCGGGAACACGTTGCCATCCATTGCAAAGCTTTAAAGTGTCTGGGTTGGGTTGAGTTGTTGCGTACTCGGCTGCCCATTTAATAACTCAAAATACTCGAGAGCAAAAGCACCGCTCGCACTCGTCAAGTTTCATAAATGGTTTTCTTCCATCAGCGGGGGGTCCCTTTTTTTTTATTATTTTTTTTGTTTCAGAGGGGAGCGCTATTTGCATTTCAACGTTTTGTGGATTAAAACAAAACGTTTTCATAATTGAAGTGTCTGCCCCCAAGATGTACGTACACAAATAAAGGGTGAAATTATATTATGCCAGTGCAGGCCTCCATTAAGGCCCAACGGGAACTCTTCTTTAAGATGAAAGGAAATCGAATGTGAGATGGAATTCATAGTTTTTTAAGTGCAACAAATACTTCTAGTTTACATTTACTTTGGAGATTTTAAAGTTAACCATATTGTTAAGTATTTTTAGTTTGTAAATAGTTTTTTCATCTTATAATTTTAGCTTTAAGACTTTTGTTTTATTATTTGTAATTTAAAAGGAAAGCCTTACTAATAACTACCTATACTGGATGACCCCACTTCTAGCTGAAAATTTTCCACAGATTATCTTTAAAAGCTAATCTAATTTTTCCACAATAACAGGCATCTGAACGCTCTTTGGCAATCAATCATATTTTATGCTCTGTGCCGGCCACTAATCAACTTCGATTCACCTTAACTTGGGGCTGCCTTAACGACCCTTTATTGTCTGCTTTCAGCGATGGGCTTGGTTTGGCCATCTTCAGGCTTAGTTGCCCAGACTTGGCACTTGTTAGCCACCAGTATTTGTGGTTGCTTTAGGTAGGGCCTGACCAGGTAATCAACCAAGTCGGCTGGGAAAAAATGCATTTCCGACTTAACCGCAGAGCAGCAGCAGCTGCTGTTCCACGGACATCGTAATAAATTTTATTTTTAGCCGTCGGCTAATTGTGCTGGACATGGACATGGAAATAAAAGTTGCATGCGCGGCTTAAACAAAATTAAAAACTCTTATCTAGCGGGGAGAACGAGGAGCATTGCACCGCGCGTCACGTAATCCTTTTGGGGCAGGCTTATCGGGAATGATAAGCCACAGACAGCAGTTGGAATTGTGGAATAGTTGAGCAGGGAAATGGAATAGGATTTGGTTTGCAAACAGAGGAGGGTTTGAAGCTTTAAACCTTTTTGCTATAAATTTGTAAAACTTTATAGAATGAGCCACCTCTTGAAGTATTTATTTCTTGCCGCAGAGCTTACGCAACTCTGCAAGCTAATGCCCTCCTCATGCTCAGCCCATTACAAGTCGTCTCATTAGCATTTACCTGTGGCTATCCCCGCACCCCAACTCACCTTTCGTAAAGCCTTTGGAGGCCCGCTTGCCAAAGCTGCCGAAGCGCTCGCGCTCGATCACCTGAGTGTGGATATAGCGCTCGGAATATGAACGCGACAGTTTCTCCTTGGAACTATGGGCACCCATTTTGTGTGTGTTTTTCTTTTTATTTTTTTTCCTTACTTAATGCACGTAAGAGTGAGTTTTCCTGCACGGATGCAGTCTGATCGATATCACGATTTCAAATTTCACTTTCACAGGCTCGCTCGGTGGCTAGGCTACGGCTACACCCGCGCACAATCTCCAGACGTCGGCGAATTTAATTTGATGTTGTCGCTGACAATTGCCGCTTGAATGCATTTTGCTTTGTTTGTTATTTAGTTATTTTTTTTTTTTGCAAGACTACTTTTGCTCCATGATTAACACAAGGTTGACATTTTGATTGGTTTTTTTTCCTTGGGTTTTTCCTTTTATAAATGCACACACTATATATTTTCCTGCAGTTGACATTGAATGGATTTATAACGGTTAGATTTAATGGCCATTCACTAGAGGTGCCCATTAGCCAATTCAATTAGCCGCCTCATTAAAGCCCGACTCGCACAAAAAGCTTCTTTTTTTTTTGTGCTCTCCCTATAATCATCTGCTCGCCCACAACTTTAATTAAATTATTTTTAATGGCGCCATCCATGGGATGCCCCGATTTTATGGCATTTTCCACATACTCACTGAGGGATAAGGCATTCAAAGAATCGCATTAAAATACAAAAAAGTGGAATATAAAATGTTTTGACGGTGCCAACAACCAACCTAGACACAGAAATCCGAAATAGACAAATACTTAATAGCCCAGACATGAAAACTGTTTTATATTTAATTGAGCGTAAGGCTCTAGTGCAAGTATTTACTATACTCTTCCAGAGGTTGTGTCAGCTATAAGCTACTATGAGAAGAAATAGTAGGTTTTTAGGAGGAAAAGGTACAAAGATATGCCATTTATATACTATACGTTTTTTGTTGTTTTTAAAACGTAAATGCTTATTTAAAACTTGAAAATAAATATTCTTTATATTCAAAACCAAATATAATGTTTATGCTTTCAAAGCTTTAGTATTCTTAAAATAATACTTTAAAAAAATCACAGTAAATGCTGAGAAAATAAGATTCTACAAATTATTTACCTTTAAAGCCTTAAAAAAATCTTTAAAAATCTAATACAATTCCATTATTAATCCTCTAATAATTATTAATAACTTAAAATTAGTTAACATTTGTCATCTATCCTATTGAATAATTAGGAAAACTAAAAAAAGGCTAAATTTGTAATTTGTTTATTTTTTTAAATGCCAAAATAAACTTTCCTGCTGCTTGGAATTTCGCAATGAAAATGATAAATGTCCCAAAAAATAGAAGACGCTCTCCTATGCAACAAAGCGACCCCAATTTTCCCATTGGATTTTTCCTCTTTTTTTTTTTTTGCTACGGATTCAAAGCAAAGAAAATTACAGCAGACCAAAGAAGAGCAGCAGGTGCCTAGGAAACTATTGCAACATAATCCAAATAAATCTTCGAGTGAGGAGGAAAAATGCCAGCATTTCTCCTGCCTCTTTGCACGGCAGTTGCTGACAGGTTTGAATGTCATCATAACTTAACAAAGGCGGGCCAAAATGAAACCCAAACCGAAATGAGCTGACAAATTGCACGCTATGATTTGTGGCAGAGCATTTGAATGTGGAGCACCGACACAGAAAGCAACTGGCTTAAAAAACAAATCCAAAACAAACAAAATGAGTGGAAGAGACACACGTTTCCCAGTGGTTTGAGTAAAAAGGGAAATTTATGCTGGCACAGTGGGTAAAAATTAGGTGCATTTATCGGGAAAGATTTGTAGGTTTTTTGAGGGGGGAAATTAACTACAAATGTTGGGGGTTATCAATATTACTACTACCTTTTATAAAAAATATATTTTCAATTTTGGATTACCAATTTCGAAGCAAAGTTTTCTGAAAACCCAGCATACCCTTGCTCTCATCCGGGATCACTGGGCAGGCACAGATATCCCACAGTATTTGCTCCGTTTGGCAGACCAAGCACAACCCCATTGCTATGAATAGCATCGGCGCCCTCTTTAGTAGGTTTGGTCTGTTCAGTCAGCCAGTTCAGTCTCAGGCCTGCAAATGTCAATCCAACCTGGCCACCACCGACTATAATTAGCCCAAAATGCAACACAAAAAGGTGTCAAATGTTCGGCTCCGCGGCAATAGGAATTCTCATATCCATTCGATTTTATTGTTGGCTCTAAATTTAGCCGATTGGAAAAGTTTCTGGGGAGCATAATTCACATGACTCGGCACACGGATTCAATACCGAATGTCAAATGTCTCGGATGCCGGAAGTTTTCCACGACAATAAATGTGAAACGGAAGTTGTGGGATAGTCCTCAAGGGCACCTCGATTTATTGTGGTATTTGTTTTTTTTTTTTCCTTTTGCTGCCGTCACTCATCTGGGAATGGCAGCTGACGAACGAACTAAAGTTTTGCCAATTCCTGGGGGCTCTATTAAATTTAATATGCAAAAATTGAATATGACTTTCAATTAAAAGTTGGCCGTTAACTTTGCCTCATGTGGGCGGTATTTTTCTTTGCATTTTTCATTGGCAAGCGCTTTTCCAAGAGGGAACACCCCAGGTGGCTGAAAAACGGCGGAAGCTGCAAAAGCAATTAATCGCTGGCGAGAGAGTTCGGAAGGAACTTGTCAGCCAACGACATCATAAAGGCGGAGGAGGCGAGCATAAAATAACATAATTTAAGAGAGGCAAGTGCAAAGCCAATTGTTGGTAAAGAAAGGGAAAGATTAAAGAAACCTTTTAAGTAAATTCGGTTTAATTGAGCTTACAATACAATTAAGTAAATTACAGAAATATCCAGGCACAAATTAGAGACTAAATCAATGTTTTCTTTTATAAACTAGCTTTATTTTAAATTATATTCTGTGGTTTAATTATAAATAAATATATAACATGTCTTCTTACTTCTTCTTTACATAAAAAAAGACACCTTAATGACTCGTTTAAGCAGGATTAAGCATAAATTGATAAAGTATCACAGTGACCTAAAAAATATTTTTACAGCTTCACAGTCTCCTCCCCCTGGTGGCCATAAAAAATACGGCTCCCGATATTACGACGATTCATTTCCAGCAGTTCGATCCATTTTTATGGTCAGCAACTATCGCAGAGAGCCATAAACCACGGGTTCGTTGTCCCCCAAGAGAGCATTTATTGGGAGACTCCCAGAGGCTCGGCCAATAAAAATTAACAATTACGAATGCCGAAAGGAAAACAAATTTTCCGAACTCTTTGTATCTGCCATGCATAAATATAAAAAGTGTGCGGTCATTAAAAAATCACCAACAGTTTGGGGTTTTTCGCATGCAAAATGCGAGTAATAAGAGGAAACTCCAGTCCGTGGACTAAAATAAAACTGACCGATCCGATGTAAACAATCGTTAAACTGACGGCGAACTGTGAAAAACTGCATCAGCTGCAT